CTAAACGAGTCAATTGAACTGAGCTAAGCAGAGCGTCTTGGTTTGGGTTGCCAGGCTTGGCACAGGTGCCAGTGGGCGGACTGGTGCCAAAGGTGGCAGAGGCACAGATTGCAGAGAGGGGCCAGAAGATGGGGCAAGACAAGAGACAGAGAGGGAAGAATAAGAGTGGAGGCCAGAGAGCAGACTTATATCATCAGCATCATGTCAGTGAGACACAGTTTGCTGATCAGTTTCTCAAATGTTCAAAGTGAAAATGCTTGAAAGACAAAATCATGTTAGTATTTCTGATGGAGGCTGTCCATTCCCGTCCTCAGATGAGCATCCCTGTGACACACAAGTGTAAAGAATGGTCAAAAAAGAGTCTGACTTCATTAAATCAACACTGAAGTAAATCATCCTGCTCAGATTTAACACAGCTTCTTCAGCCACATGCTGTTAAAATGACGTTTATTTTGAGGGCTCTTGCTGTAAAATACAATAAAGAACAAATGCCAGCATTTCAGTTCTCGTTCCATAAACATTCAGTGATGCACATTAAACTGACATTTAAACCATGAGGAGCTGACGTGCATGTCTGTTCACCAGCACAGGCTGATAAAGGTTTGAGTCCATCCCTTTATCTTGGGGTCTTCTTTGTGATTACGGTTGATGTTAAAAGCTATTATGCACATTTGAATCTAACAGTGACCAAAAAAAATGCCCATCTATGAATGACAAAAAGAGCCTTAATTACTAAAACCGAGACAAGAGGCTGGTTTATTGTGTTGTTTTATTCAGATTGGTCTTGGCTGCTTTAATTGATATGAGCAAATGTAGAGGTTAGAGGGAGATTAGAGGTCGAAAACAACACAAACTTTACCTGCAGACTGCCAGGGCTTCGGTTTTTATAAGTGACCTTAAAATAATTTGCATGGTTGAGTTCACACAGGACCCAGGGATTCTCAGTAAACCTGCATTTTCCACTTATGTGTGGGTGACATCTGCTGGAAACATCAAGTAAGTACAGGACAAGAAGGACTCAGAATGATGGCAGTTTAATTACCTCAGTTTATAACAAAACATCCATCCACCCATCATCTCTACACCTTAACCCTCACTAGGGTCATGGGGGGCGGAGCCTATCCCAGCTGACTCAGGGTGAAGGCAGGTTCACCTGGACAGGTAACCAGTCTATCACAGGGCTACACTTAGAGACAGACAACCAAGCACACTCACATTCACACCTACGGACAATTTACAATCACCAATTAACCTCAGCATGTTTCTGGACTGTTGGAGGAAGCTGGAGAACCCGGAGAGAACCCACGCTGCACGGGGAGAACATGCAAACTGTGAGACGACTAACCGCCGAGCCACCTTGCAGCTTATAACAAAACATGACTGACATTTTCATTTTCCAGTGTGTGGTAGATAGTATTTGAGCTAGCAATAACTGGTTAGTGGTCCCATGATATTGATCACTCTACAGATTGTCTAAGCTAGCTCCAGCTCCCCGCGGCCCCAGTAAGGACGGCGCGGTGTGTTGATAATGGATGGATGGGAATTGTCTCAGCATTTTAAACACGCTGATACATTCATGTTTTTTGAACAGTTATATTAAATGTAGCTTTTATTGCTGCATTTTAAACTGAATTTAAATGCAGAATGCTGTGTGAACTGTTTAAAACCAATCAGGAAGTCAGTGGCAAAGAGCTGGCTGTTGCCAGCAGGTTGGCGCCTCCATGTGGTGATTTCAAAAAACTACATCGTGCCAGACAGCAATGCTCACATACAGTACATGACTATTTATAGTGATGGATTATACCTCACAGGTATCTTTTGAGGCTTTAATACCATAATCCGATATGTTATTGCTTTTCTGTTGCGTCAGTTTTAATTCTGCCTGAGTGATGGACTGCTACATGGGATGTTGTATGTTCACATAAATGCAAACCTCCTCCCCTCCCTAAACATCCCATTAATATTCAGACATTAGGTGGTGCTAACTCCTCATCACACTTTTCTGTCAGGTGTGACGCAGCGTCCAAGCGCTGCGCAAACATATGCTCGTTTTTCAAGGACAACAGTTGAACTGAAACTGAACGGAGCCACAGATGGGCTGTTTTAAATTTCCAAGGTGGAAGTTTTACCTTTCATCTGAAGACCTTCCCCCAGCAGGCCTGAGTCTGCTGTCAGGAGCAGCTCTGCCTGGAGCTGGCAGAGATCCAGAGCCTTTCTCAGGTTCACTGCAGTACAGGGTGAACCTGTGGGCTTTTGGGAACAAGCATCAAGCATGGGACCCTCTGTTTACCGGCTCCTCTGCTGCCTGTCCAGTAGCTGCACCAGGCCTGACAGGGACTGTTAATGAGCCATGAAGAAAATGAGCAGATATTTGTGAATCACTGTGAGCAACAATTCACTCTTACAAACATCCTCACATGCAGGCTTTTATTTTTTTTGCCTGTTTTTCAGTTTCCTTCCCATCCCTGCTGCTTCCTCTCCTGCCTCCTGCCTCCTTTCGTAGCTGCTCCTTTAATATGCACAATACATTTACACCACCATGAAGTTATCTGTGTGTACATATGGTCAGGACGGAGCCTCCATCATGCTGCCGTGACATTAAATAAATAGCAGATATTATTTCATAGAGACCATTGTTGGCACCGTGCTGTTCTCCCTCCTACACATAAGCAGCATATTTCTCTGTTTTGTTTTTTTGTTGTTACACGTTTGCAAATGCATTTGTCCTCTGTGACCCCACCTCTCCTCTCCTTTCAAACGTAAGCGCTCACACACACCAACACACACACACACACCACATTACAGCGCTGCCAACACTCTGAAGAAGAACTGTTGCCATGGCAATGAATTTCTCAACTGATTGCCTCTTATATATTTGCAGTCCATATAATATAGTCGAGGTGGGCATTGAAAAGAGAAGAGGTTCAGTTTTGACTCTAACTCGGGAGACATTAAAAGCACATAAACAGAGGATTGAAGAAGTATAGAAACCATAATGTAGAAGAGAAGTGGGTGATTACAGTGGATGCAGGTTTTCGTCTAACTTTAAACTCAAGCAGAGGTTTGATAGGACTGCAGTCCTCTGGCTCATCCTGAGGAACCGGACAGTTACTGACTATGTTGGCTTCAATGATGTTTATCAGACACATTTCAGCTCATCCATGTTAATGAGGACTCTGTGTTCGGACCTACACGCTTCACTTTGTACATGATCCCTCTGGACAATATTCTGAAGAACCACTGCAGAACTTTTTATTGCTATGCAGATGACATTCAGCTATATTTATCTATGAGTACCAATCAAATAAGGGCAGGATGACGTGTCATTTTCTTCTCCTAGATGTAGATGAAACGTGTATCTGGCCTCCTCAGAAACACACAGTCTAACCATGCTGCTGAGGATGCCATTGCCTTGGCCTCGAGCACTCCTGTGAGGAACCTTGGAGTCACTTTTGACCAGGACGTGTCTTTAAAGTCTCGAGGACGGCCTTCTTTCACTTGCGCCTCCTGTCCCAGAGTGATGCTGAAAAACTGGTCCATGTATTTATAACTTCCAGGCTGGACTGTTGTAACTCCTAATTAGCATAATGTCCCAATAACTCTGAAATAACTCTGGTTGATCCAAATAGCTGCAGAGGGAGTCTAACAGGAACCAGCAACAGACATCCTGTTGCTCCCATATTAGCTTCCTGTACGATCCAGAGTAGATTTTAAATCGTTCTCCACACATACACAGCTGTTAATGACCGAGCTTCATCGTACTTTAAAGAACTTCTCGTACCATATTGTCCTAATGGAGCACTTTGCTCTCAGACTGCAGGTTTCCTTGTGTTTCCCACAGTTCCCAGAAGCAGAGTGGGACCCAGACACCTGCTCTGCTTTCAATGTTAAGCTTAAAACCTTTGACAAATGTTTAAAGTTGTGGCTGTTCCGATGACTCTGAGCTGTGGCTGAGGTATGCTGCTTCAGGCCTAAACTGCTGAGATGCTTCCCAGGATGGTCTCCTCCCCTCTACACTTATAAAGCACCAGTTCATGCCACTCACTTTGTCTCTTCACTCTTCTATAGTTGTGTTTATTCCTTATTTAAATTCTTAACAAATACTCGCCCGATCAAACTGAAACCAACGAACCTTCAGTATCTGAAAAGAACTGATGCTGTTGTGTTTCCTGCAAGTTCTTTGGTTTTCTTGTCCGTTGCCAGAGTGTCGTGAGTTTGGAAACACTCTTCTCCATGACTCTGAGCTGCACAGGCCTCCCCAGCATCTACTGTTCTCTGATGATATCCTGTTCTCTCTCTCCTTCACCCTGCCTGAGCCTGGTTCTGGTGGAGGTTTCTTCCTATTAAAGGGGCTGTTTTTCCTCCTGTGGTCACCAACAGGCTTGCTTGAAGGGGATCTTTGAATGTTGTTGAGTTTCTCTCTATAATATCAGGTTGTGAGGTCTCCAGCTGGCTCTGTGAGATATTCAGAGCTGTGCCAAGAGGTCCAGAATACACAACAGCAGCAGCTATACTGTGTTTTTTATTTCTTAAATATTTCCTCTCTTTTACAACTGATTAAATCATTAAAGAAGGTGCAGTAATAGGCAGGTAGGTGCAGGAAGTATGACAACAGCCACTGACTCAGCGGGTCTGTGTTCAGAGTGGACCTGGAGCATCCACGCACAGCGCAGCCCAGTGGAGGAGAAAGCCTTTGCAGTATCTCTGCAGTTCTGGAATCGCCTTCTTTTCAGGCCAAATAGTTCTAGAGCCACTTTGGAATCGCGTGAAGTCTCCGACGGCACCTGAAGGCATCACAGAGCTCTCTGCGCACCTTCAACTCCTCGTCTCTCCTCCGTCACGCAGCTCAGGTCAGTGGACCGGTGGGAGGGAGGGACGGACACGGACAGTGGGTGAGGAAGGGGGGAGGAGAGAGAGAGAGAGAGAGAGGAGGGAGGGAGAGAGAGAGAGAGAGGGGGGAGGGAGGAGGGAGGAAGCGGTCCAGTCCACAGAGCAGAGCCCCGCCGGAGCAGGAGGATGCCGCCGGTCACTCTCTGACGCTGTCACTAAATCCAGACCCACTTACTGCAGCTTTTGGGGGACTTCATACAAACTGCGCATCAGGGAGGGGCTGGAGTCACTTGGACTTTTCTAGTTGCCAGTTGGTTCGTGCGCTCGGCTCGGCTCGGCTCGGCTGTGGAAGGTGTGACGGGGCTGGGTGCCATGGACCCGCTGCTGCCCGCAGACGCGGACGCGATGGAGCGAGAGGCGGACAAGGATGCGAGGAGGAAGATCCAGTTCTCGGTGCCGTCCTCCGTGCCCACCCAGCTGGACCCGCGACAGGTGGAGATGGTGAGAACGAGGGAGTGTGATGCGCAGCCTACACGCAACGATGACAATGGTTGTGGTGTGTAAAAAAAAATAGAGGAGGAGGAGGAGGAGGAGGTCGAACCTGGGTCAGGCTGTGTGAGGATCAGCAGTTTTAATTGTAACCTACTGTTTACTGGGTTGGTTGAAGTCGAACCTGAGCCATGCTTGCTTGTAACTTCCATGCGCTGCTTTGTGGTGTCTGGGTCAGTCCTTGTCACTGAGGTTGGCAGACAGTTACATAAGAAGCCAGACTTTGCAGAACTCTGTATTTTGGTGTTGCATATTACTCTGTGGGCAGCAGGGTATGGGCAGCGCCGGGATTAAGCTGAGCTGTGCAGCCTTCAATTTGTGGAGCCCTTAAAAGTGATGAGGCATCTCTGCCCTTCAAAAGAAATGATGGAGGAGGAGGAGGGGGAGGAAATTGAGGGATAAAGCACAATTTGTAATATCCAAAATGAGATGTGCCTGAGAAAATAAAGCCCCTGCCACATATGCGAAACACAATGCAGAAGGTCACACTATTACTCATGTTTTGGAAGGAGGAGGTGAGTGGATTATGTAAAGTAAATACAGCATAAATCAGTGGCGTGTTTGCTGAATCATCCCCAAAGCAAGTGGCGGTGAAACATGCTGACATGGTTCAGCAAAGAAAGCGTGTTGGTGGAATAGTGCAGTGTGAACAGGAATAATGTCGGCTGTGCAATATGGATGCAGACGTACATTCAGAGTTGTTTGTGCTTGCAGCTCATATTCAGGTCATCAAGGTAAGAGATGAGATAAAGTTTGGACACGGAGCTGCAGCAAATGATCCGTTTGTTCCTCCTCTGAGACAAACACGTTCATACTTTAATCACAGGATCCTCCCCAGAGGGACTCTCACTGGAGACCAGGTGCAAAGTCAGAAATCTTTATTTCTCCCAGAAGAGGATTTGAACGATTTCACAGGGCATCTGTGTGGAAATGCTGTTTCCGGCTGGACTGTAGAGAAAAACTAATAAATCAATAATATGTAGGCACTCCGATGTTTTTGCTGCACATCTGTTGTTTGCAGCTCTCTCGGGTTTTGGATTTCTTCATCTATTCTAGTGCAGAACTATTTCTTCATCTGCGTTTCGAAGCAACTCCTTGTGTCTGCACAACTCTGACTGATCTGTTCTCATAATTACACTCTGATGGTAATTAGTGAGTATACTTTACCTGATGACCCAGGGAAGGATCAGATTACTGGTGCTGCACATTCCTTCCCTGGTCTTTAGTTATTAAGTCTTTCCCACGTTAGTGTCCACAAAAAGCTCGTCATGAGCCAAGTCAGTTCTTCCTTTAAGATGTCAGCTCAGGAGATGGTAAGGTTACCGCAGATCCTTTACCACGGACCGAACGAGAACAAAAGGTGAAGCACACAAAATGCTGCAAGGTTCTTACGACACAGGATACGTCTTCTTATAGCCAGCAAGGCGACGCTAACTCTGCTGTTGCCATGAACATGAATGAGTGCTGCTCAGCGTCACCTGTTGCTGAAAACATGGAGGAGGAAGTACAGCTGGCAATTTAAGGAATTTCTGCAATGTTCAGGATAGCAGAAATCCAGGGGAGGGGATAGCCAGTCATCCAGCTGCAGAGTGGGGTTTGTAATCCATATTTCAGGCATCCTGCATGAGAAATGTCTTCCGTCTGCCTTTAAGCTCATCATTGCCCAACGCAGGCTGCCATCATGTGATTAGAAACACGGTCCTGTCATGTGGAGTCAGACTTTCCCAACATGTTGCAAAGGGTTTGCAATTCAGAGAACTTGACAGGAGCTGATTGGCAGCTTTACTGTTTGTTGTTTTCAAACAAGAGCTCAATGAAAATATCGAAATGCCATTTTTCTGTCAGACTTTGCAGAATGATGTGCTTCGGTTGTGTAATAGATTTAAAACGTGATGCAGCATTGTCACATGAGATACCATCAAAAGCATGATTGTTGCACGAGGACATTTGTGAATTTGTTGAAGCGTTGGTAGACCTCAGGTCATAACAGACATCGTGCTGATGCATTGTTTGAAGATGTGGTTTAACACTGATGAGTAGCTCGGCGTCATTATAAACCACAGCAGTTATTTAACCTGTCCTGTAATCTACCACCGCCCTGCTTGGATTCTCAGCTTTACATTCATGAATTATTTACTCCAGCATGACTCCTGAAGAATTTGCAAAGCTGCTGCTCATGAAGGAAACTTTCAGTGCCAGGAAAGTCATTTTCACATCGATATCCTTCGTATATAACGCTGTGAGGTCCTTTTGTGGCCCTGCTGCCCATTCTCACTGATAGCGACTGAAACTTGCTGTCTGTGTGGAATGAATGCAGAGTTCAGCCAAGTGCTTTGCAGAACATTTCCGAAACGCGCAGTGATCACGTAGGGTGGAAATAGAAACAGGTAATGAGATAAGTAGAAGGAGTGCGAAGGAACAAGCAAAACAAACAGCCCTCAACAAACGGCGAAGGTTGACGTGGAGAGAGACAAAGATGGCAAGCAAGAAAAGCCAAGGCAGGAAAAATCATCAGCTGAGAAGATGACTGATTAAAAGGAAAGAGATTAGCTGTGGAGGACTGAGGCCTAAATCAAGGGCAAGGACAGCTCATGCCAAGAACACATTTTCACCACATCCAAGAGCTCCAAACTGTGATCGGGTCTCTTTCAACAAAGCCAGCGCTCCCTTCTGTTCCTGTTTACTCATTAATGCTGTTTACACAGACGGATATTGATTTGATTATCAGTCTTCAAAAGCAGATACAGCTGAAAAGGAAAGGTGGTAGCAAGAAAACACGTTAGTCACTGAGGAAGACTCAGTAACTCCAGCTGGATGAACAGGTTTGCAGTGGGAAGTTCCCAGTTTCAGATGGAAGTCTACAGTCGGTGTCTCCCCCAGGCCGCCGCCACAGCGACATGGTCTTTAACAACAGCTAAAATCAGTGGGTGTGGCATCCGCTACACTGCTTTAGAAATTACTCACCACAAAACAAAAGGTCAAATGTCAATGGTGGTTTTTATTTATCTTTTCTTGAACATGCTGTTCAAATCAAGGCCTACAGAGGATTATTCAGTGAATAAACTGAAAGCGTTGTATGAACACAGCCAAGGATTTATGCTTTCACTGTGTGGTCTTAATTGTTAAGTGGATAGGTTATTTCAGTATAAAAAGCTCTTTAGGTCATCCACAATGATGCACTGAAGTTGAATGTTAGGTAACCATGGAAGTCCTCCTACTTACCAACAATGAGGTGGGAGATTAATGATTTGCAATGCGAGCACTATACTGATGTTATATGCTGCTTAAATTCCTCTTTCTAGCGATGTCTGTGGTGGTGCGTCGGTAGTTTGGCTGGATCGTTCTCAACAGGGAATAAAACTGCTGCCAGCAGAGCAGAAAATATCCAGTGCCTATAAAACGTACTCACTCCCCTCTGGAAGCTCTCCCCATTTACTGCTTTTCAACACTGAATCATGGATAGTATAATTTGGCTCTTTTCTGTTTCATGCCCACATGAATACAGATTCCTACAAAGTAATGTCAACTAATTAAAAATGTAAAATAAGTGACTGCATCAGGATTCATTCCCTTTAAAGTGACTGCATCGTAGAGACAAAAAGCAGTCCAAGCAGCTGTAAAAAGGTTTTGATTGGTAATGAAAAGATGGATACAAGGAAAGTTTTAAGTGGCTGAATATCCTTTAGAGTACAGTTAAGTCCATCATGTAGAAATGGAAGGAACATGACTCATGTGTAGGCCTGCAAGAGTGCAAGAAGGAGGCTGGTGAGGACGGCCACCAAGACACATACGACTCCTCCGAAGAAGTTCCACCTTCAGGAGCTCAGACGGGAGAGACTGTTCATACAGCAGTTGTTGTCTGGGTTCTTCACCAGTCAGCATTTTACTGGAGAGTGGGGAAAGCCACCGCAGAAAAAGTTCATGCTGACCCTCGACTAGAGTTCTGACAGAAGACATGTTGGAGACTAGACAACAGGAAGACGGTTCTTTGGGCTGATGAGACCACCACTGAGATTAGTGGACACCAAACACTGCACATCACTACAAACACACCATCCCCATTGTGAAGCACGGTGGTGGCAGCATCATGACAGGAGGATGCTTCTCAGCAGCAGGCTCGGGAGGGCGTGTCAAACTGCATGGTTCATGAATGTAGTGAAGCTCAACCTGATGCAGTCTGCAAGTGAACTGTGACTTGGAGAAGACTTGTTTTCAGCAAGACAAGGATTCAAAGCAAAAAGGCAAAGCTCCACAGAATGAGTTTAGAGCAACAAGGTGAGGTTCAGTCAGAGCCCACACTTCAATCCAACTGAGAAATTGTGGCTGGACTTGAAAAGGTTTCCTCCTGATCTCTGTGAGCTTGAGCACATGATGGTGAAGTTGCAGTGTTCAGATGTGCAGGACTCATGGAGAGCCGTCGACACGCCGTCAGTGCTGCACATGTGGTCCAAGGTGCATCTTCTGCACACTGACTGGACCTATGCAGTTGCTTCCTTAATGTTTTATGTTTTGAATTACTGACAGTATTTTGTAGAAATGTGTTTTCACTTTGAGGCAAGAGAGTCTTTTCTTTGTAAATTCTGTGCCTAATTAAATGGACTAAGTCTAGAGAAGCGATAACGGGAGACATTTATAAAGCATGTGATTTAAAGGCACTTTATGAACAAATAAGACTCTCACTGCTTTTGGTGGTTGGGGCTGAGAAGTTGCTTCATATGTGTGTTTAATAGTCCTAACTTTACAGTAAGTCCAGTTTTCCAGATATTCGTTGCTATATGACTATCAGTGGTGTTTAAATAGAGACGCCACGCTGCGGGCTGGATGGTCAAAGAGAGTCCGTTACTTTACTTTCTGACCAGTGAAACAGAGTCAGCCACAAACTGGAGGCCAGATTTCATGAAGGAACTCAGATACCAAACAGTAACTTGTAAACAACAGTCTAAACTTCATCATTTTTTCCCTCCAAAGTTCCTCTCAAAGGCACATGTCGATCTATTGTTGTGTCCGGTTATCCCAAACAGAAAACGATTTATTCAGTCAGTAATGATTTAGGTCCAAAAAGGCTTTTAATGAACGTTCGAATGCTGCATTGACAGAGCTGTTCAAAGAAAAGCTCATTTCTATAATCGATTAAATATCTTAGTGACGGTAAAAAACAAAACAAAGCCAAAGAACTGACCGTCTACCAGAGAAACACGAAACGGTACAAATCAAACTAGGAGGGCGTTCGGACCTCTGCCAAGGCCGGAGGTCCACTCTGGCAGCCCGGCCACTCACATTTCACGGTTCTTCCTTTGCTTTGGTTTTCCCAGAGTTTCATGAGAATTGGCTCAGTGGTTTTTGCTTAATCCTGCTGACGGACAAACAGAACGGTAATAAACAACATAGTGCAGCCACACTGAGCTGCCGCTGGTATTTACAGACGATCTGATGAAAGTACGCTGTTCCCTGCAGGTGCTCGACCTTCTGGCCACTGTGTTAACAAAACACTCCGAAAAGGTCAGCGTGTCTGAAAAGGCTCTCAGACTGGTGCTCCACCTGTGGTTCGGTCCGTTGGTCCTACATGGTTCCTCCTGAGAAGTGTGTGTGTGTGTGTGTGTGTGTGTGTGTGTGTGTATGTCCATTTGAAACTGATGGTGTTTATCAGATTGCCACAGTCAGTGTTCCTGTCTGACCTCCGGCTGGATCCGGTGCAGTTTACGTACTTTTTATTCCCCAACGCTTGCAGCAGCCGTAGCTCCAGTGACGGATGCATACGTGTGATTTAACAAAGGGAAGCAGAACCGGTTGGAGTCACGCCACAGTGGAAGCTGCCCACACATTTCATGCCTCCTCTCTGGGCTGCGACTATCCCGTAACAGTCCTTTCTCTACAACACGTTAGGAAACAGAGAGTGATGAACATATGGGATCTTTCACTATAAAGGACACACGATAACATTTCTGTATGACAACACAGGTCCTGCATTTACTATTAGTGAGTGTGAGCACAGCAGTAGCTCCTGGCTGTGTAGCCACACTGTGTGGACATGGATCAGGTCCAGGGTTGTCCTGATCCCTCAGTCAGCTGGTGGAGTGAACAACAATGCAGCTGGATTACAAAAAGGTTTTAAAACTCACTTGTTTATTATGAACTTTTAGAGTGAGTGTAAGAAATAAGTAACATAAAATGGCCAATAAAATATCATTTTTGGCCTTTACAGGTTCATCTAAGAACCTGCAATCAGAGAATTTAAACTTTGTTTTCTTAAAAAATACTCAAACTGATTGATTATCAAACTGATTGATTATCAAACTGATTGATTATCAAAAAGCTGGTGATTAATTTAATGGCTGAGAACCGATCGTTGCAGCTCTAATGGGACTAATGATGTGGCTTCACCCTTTCATGGCTAAATGACGTGTGTCGGTTACAGTATGTGAGCGCCGAGTGTTTTAAGGTTGGACTTTTCTGTCTTTGTGGAAAATTAAAATGTGATCCAGAGCTTCATGTTTAGTATTTCTTTTGGATTTTGTTGCAAAGATATACAGATGTGATTGTATCTTGGTACAATTGCTTAAATATCAATTGATTCCACATTTATCAGAAATATCCACTGACCGATAGAACTCCCTTCCTTTCCATAGCTGCCATGATGCTTCCATCCGTGGAGTTCATCCATCAGCGTCTTCATGTCTTCATCACTGACTTCTCTTGATGCAGCAACCAAAGCATCCTAGATGTGTTTTAAACCGGTGTGTTGGGTTCCTCACTGTACATCTCAGGTTAGAGGCGGCCCCAGAACTTCTCACTCAGTCAGGTGATAAAGGAACTCTGGTCATTTTGTCACTCGGTCGTCCGTGAGGTCTCCTCTATGTGATGGAGCGCTGATGCTGCATGCAGGTCATGGACTTGTTCAATCTTCCTGTATCATGGCTTGAAGAAAGTATCTTCCAGAAACTGGCAGCAGGTTTGGAGTTCCACCCGAAAAGATCCAGTAAGCTCATCCTTAATGGTCGCATCCCACACCAGTACCCCTCCAGAACCATGCTGGCACCTGACCTGACCTTGTGTCTACTAGTGATCCATCCGTCTACTTGATGACTCTCATTTCATCTGTCCATAAAACCTCTGAAAAATCTGTGCTCAGGTACTTCTGGGCCTGATTTGGATGCTTCAGCTTGTAGTCATTGGCGGTTGTGTTTGAGCCACGCCTGAGTGCAGGACAGTGGCTTCCTGGTAGCTTCACATTCAGGTTTTTCTAAATCTTTTGCATTTTATTTTGTACAATCTACTTTTTCATGGTTTTAAACATCATAACATGTCCCTGGTGTGTCTTGAGACCCACTAAATGTAAGAAAAGATCAATGCCATCGGTACTTTCCTTCCTCCATAGATCAGGAGATGTTCCTCTGAAGGAGCTCTTCATGTTTGCTACCTGTTGGCACCACTCCAGGCTGGCTCCTCTTCTTCCTTCTTCTCTGGGCTTGTCTTCACTACTCACTGAACAGACTAGACACAGAGAGGCGTCCCTGTGACCCTCCTGTGAGCAGCACATTTAAAGCTATAGACTATAACTGCCCACCTGCAGCTGGGCTACAGGAAATACAGCAGTGATAGAATGTGTGCAGCATCCATGCAGGCGACATGTGAGACTCACAGTAACTTGTTGACGAGGGCTACAATACGGGTCTTTAGTTTGCATCTTTTCTTTTTTTGCCACCCTGTTGACTCATCGTAGCAGAACCATGAAGGTCTAACCCCCGGACAGGTAAATGCTGACTCAGACGTTCAGTCGTCTGCTGGTCTCAGGTCGTGTTGCATTCATCTGAAAACCATTTTTCAGTGTTTGACTTTTCAGGGTCACTTAAACCTCTTTGTTGGCCCATTTCACGTAAAGCTGCTTAATAATTATGCAGATATAATAATCGCTCAGTACCTGTTTCTCCTGCATCATGCGAATACATATCACCTGTAAATGAGTAAATGCAATAAGCATCAAAGTTTACATCATTCAGAGTTGCTAACAGTTGCTCTAGTGATTGTGCATGCAGCGTAACAACACACCAGACGTGTACGGTGGAGCGTTGTTCTCATCCTGGATCATTAGAAGAGGTGCATTAGTGTATATGGAGTGCTTTAATGCTATCGTTGATTAGGGTGAGGATATTTTTATCTGCTCATTTACAATGGAGCAGTTTAATTCCCATAGTGCATTCTGCTCTTGTCAGCTTCATATTTAAAATGTTGATATGAGATGTCACTTTACCTGGAACACAGCCTCAGTGGGGGAGAAAGCACATTATCTCTCTATGATATGTTGTCAGGCAGAAATCTAAAGAAAAATCAAATGCAAATGCGTGAAAGCAGTAAAGCAGTACTATGGTGCAGTGTGTTTACTTCCAACAGAATCTGCCGTGTGGCCTCAGACTTCACTGAGCATATTTGAACGGTTACCTTTGATAGCCGTATTATTGGCAGGCAGAGTTTTGTAACGCTCTTCTAACATGGGAGTGAAACCGACTTGAAATATTGCACTTTTTTTTAGTTGTGTAAGTGATGATGACTATGACTCACTCTGCTCCACACAGAAGATGATGAAGCAGTAGCTGCCATGTATCTGATAGTGAGATAAACAAAAGAGCTTCATCCATCAGCGATACCTGCTTTATCCTGTGGAGGGCTGTGGGTGGCTGGAGCTTGTCCCAGCTGACACTGGGCGAGAGGCGGGGTAAAGCCTGGACGGGTCGCCAGTACATCGCAGGGCTTACACTCGCTGCCAGTAGAATCACTGACGAACCTGCCATGCATGTCTTTGGACTGTGGGAGGAAGCTGGAGCCTACGAAGAAAACCCACACAGGCACAGGGAGAACATCCAAACTCCACACAGAAAGGCCTCAGCCAGCCAGCAGGTTCAAATCCAGAACCTTGGTGCTGTAAGACAACAGAGCAAACAACTGCTCAGCCCAACAAAAGAACTGGAACAACCTGAAAGCATCCCCTGAAAAGCAATGGCAGGTTGTATTTAAACAGTGAGCAAATGTAAAGAAGGCCGCTGCCATCTGCTGCTGAACAGAATCCTGATTCTGGAAAACTTTTGCTTGTTGTAATGATTTTCTCAAAGTTGCCATAGAGCTCTGCAAACATGACATCCAGAACCACAAGGCTGAATAGAAGACTGGTTACAGCTCAACAGCTGTGTCATAGTATGTGCTGACAGGACAGGATAGAGTTTTGCATGGCGTCCACACATACATGCAAAGATACACAAATATACACAAATATACACAAATATACACAAACATACATAAATATACACAAATATACACACAACATGGTGTCATGACCAAAGAATACAGACTTTCTCTTTCTCCCTTTGATAAGATCCGACGCCGAAGGCCAACTCCAGCCACGCTGTTCAGACTGACGGACCCGCCGTCACCGGAGGAAGACAGCGGCCAACATCAGGTAGATCAGCTGGTGTGAACACATCACTTATTTTACTGTAAATGGGACCATAATTTGAAAAACAAGCGTTGTTCTGTATGAAAAGGAATTTGAAACTAGTGATTGAGAACATAAGCTCATTAGGAAAATGTCAACTGAGGTAATAAATGAAGTGAGGCGTAGGACCATTTTCTCTTCTTCTGTACAGACTTCTATACAGAAGAGTCGCCTCCTGCTGGCTGTTAGAAAGAATGCAGGTTTAAGGCACTTCTTGGCCTCACAAAGGCTAAAACCATGTTTATATCCAGTACGTGGTTTGACGGAAGGTCGTGAGCAGAAGTACATCAGGGAAATAAGTTAGAAGGTTCACAACAGTATTTACAATCACAACTAACTCTGTGTCTTATATTAATAATGTGTTATATGAGTTTATGGTGGACTTTTCCTTTAAATTGTAGAAAACAGTTGAAAATGAATGTTGTAGTATGAGTTGGTCGTTGCAAGTATAATAGACAAAATGGTATGCAGCTTAGCATGAAGCGTTTTCAGACCTTTACCTGTTTGTCTCATGAACACACCTCCAGAACTTTAGCTTGAATACAGGTGATGGTTCATAGTGCTGTTTCACACTTTATGTCACTTTGCTGCAGTCTTTCTGCTTCGCTGCTAATTCAGTTCAAAAGAGCACAAAGAATATGAATGTACTTTATTGTGTAAATTATCTGACGACACCACAAGGCGGTGGTACCTTCTTTACAGTATACTGGTTGAACCATTATTGGGATGTTTGGTTTTCACAGTGGGTTCTGGGGGAAAATGGAGCCTTGAAAGCCAAACTGGTCCACATGTCAACCTACCAGCCGCCCTCGCTTAAAGGTAAACGCACTGCTTCACGTTTCTGTTTGAAATTATACATACAATGACACAAAGTGAAACTATTTGGGAGACCTAATTCCACCACGGCAACGGCCATGTGGTCGATATCCGTCTCAACGACGGGCATATCCAAAAAAACACAGCGAGAGTTGTGTGTGGGTGGATGTGAACGTGTGTGTTATGTGAGATTAGGAGCAGAGACAGCTGTGGGTCTGTTCTGGATCATCCTGGATTATAGGATGGGCACACAGCTGCAGCATGGTCTCACACACACACTCACTGTCACATACAACCAGAGGCACACGAACGTAAGCACTGGCACAAAAAATCACTATATTGGTCTGAATATGTGTGCAGCGCAGTTCTTTATTATTTATTTTTGGATTTATGGGAATTGTGCCTCTGACCCCTGCAATCATGAATGTTGCTGCTGTTAATCTCTGCAGTGTTTCGCTGGATGTGTTGGTGTGAGATACACACATCAGCCACAGCACTGAAACCACTGACATCCTGCTGCAGTGCAAAGTTCTGCTGGGAGACTTTGGATTCTGGCGCTCATGTGGATGCTACTTTGACATGCACCACCCATCTAAACATTGCTCCAGACCAAGCACACTCCCCAGTTATGGCAGCCTTCTCCAGCAGAACAACGAGCCTCAGGAACGGCTTGAGGAACACGACAAAGAGCCCACAGTGTTGACCTGGCCTCCAACATCCCCAGATTTTATTCTGATCGAGCATCCAGCATGATCGTAATGTTGTGGTTGATCAGTGTATAGCATCTATATGTTTACATAAAACATCAAATTTATTTAGGTTCTCAATGCCTATAGTAGCAATAATAATAATAATAATAATGATAATAATAATAAAAATAATAACAATAAAAAGGATAAGAATAAGCACCGTGGCCTCACAGCTAGAAGGTCGCCGGTTGGCGTCCCGGTGAGGACACCCGGGATCTTCCTGCGTGGAGTCTCCATGTTCTCCCCGTGCAGCGTGGGTTCTCTCCGGGTTCTCCG